CCCCCCCCCCCCCCGTAATAACGTCTCCTCGACTGGGAGGGACCGGTGGTTATTTTTTTATCTTGCGCGCAGTACCGGCTCAAACGCGGAATACGGACTGGAATCGGACGGCGAAGACGACAAAGACGACAACTCCGATGTATACGATCGAACGGAAGACGACGGCGAGGACAACCAGGACACGGACGACGGCAAGGACGGGTTGTGCGGACGAGCATGGCCGGCAATGGACGAGCGTGACAGACGCGTGTGGCGGGTCTTCGGCGTGGACGGAATGCCGTTCGTCACGAAGGACCGAACACCATCCTCGTCTAACACGTCCGCGAGGTCCCTTCAATCGTCCACGGTGTTCAAGGGTTCGGGCGGTAAGCGCGAGAACGTCTTTCTGGAAAGGAAACAGACCGTGTTGAACGTGGTATCGACGAACGAGTCGACAGATAGCGGCAGCGTCGAATCTTTGCCGCACTCGTCCAACGCGTCGGCGGAACAGTCCCGGCAGCCGAGCGATAGTGAGGTGAGCATCGATCGGACGGGAGGAACGGGACGGTGTAGACCAATGGCGCGCGACCCTGGGGTCGTCAGACTTCATTAGCGGATCGCCAATAATTTAACACCAAATTAAAATGTTCTATACCAGCGGTTCTTCTTAACCTTTTGTAGTTCACGAACCCCTGATGAAAGATTTTTAGAAATTATGGACCCCCTTACTAATTTTTTGTTTAATACTTTTTTTACACAAAACACCTCATGTTATTAAAACCAAAATTATAATAAATATTTTATATAATAAATTACATTAACAAACATAACAGAACATATATATTTATAATTATTCTTATTTCACTCAATTTTTCAGTTAACTTAAATTTAATTATTTTAGTTTTAATTTTTTTTTTAATATTCTTAAAATTTAATTTTTATTAGCTTAATACGATGGTTGATACACAAGTTTTATAACATCTTATAATGATAAAATATATCTATTATATAATAAAAAATATGTATAAAAAAAAATAATAATAATATTAATCTAATAATATTATAATAATGCACTCATGTCATGTATTTATATACATATGTTATGTTTTAGGGCTGTCGCGAACCCCTAGAGGGTCGCGGACCGCAGGTTAAGAACCGCTGTTCTATACTATGTATATTGTTTGTTATACCCTTTATATTTATATTTCAGATCTTATAGAAATCTAATTCTGTATTTCGTTTTACGTTTTGGATTAGTTAAATAGAAGAAATATTATATATTGCTTAAAGTTAACGATTTAATTTATATGAATACAATTTTCGCATACATATATAATATATGCTTACATAATTTTGGTGGAAAGGGAGTCACCTCATTGAAATTAATATAACGGTCGTGGAAGGCTGTCCATCACTGTTGTAGACTTGCTGTCTCGGGGTACTGATCTCCGCCCCACGGTTCTCCGGCAACGAGTCCGCCAATAATAGCTCTCGTGAAATGATGGATTTATCTATTATAGATGGCAGATAGATGAAATTAACTACAACCATACTGAATACATATCGGTATACTGTGACCATCTTTTCTACAGTAACTTAATTTATGGCTGTAATACTATTTATTGCTTCATTAGCTATACAATGTTGGTACATTACGTTTACAATATAATTATAAAGCCTCTGTCAGCTACTAGGAATTAGCATTCTCTATGTACAATGTACACCTATAACTAGGTACCATCAAATTATTTTTTTGGGGGGAGAGGACAAATGCACCTCCTGCCATTTACTCCACTGGTAACAACGATCGAAATGAGAACGATTTGTCCGTATGACACACGATTGTTAACAGTATCGTTATGGATAAATGTAGACATTTCGTGCATTTTTAGTTTTTACCACTTTAGTTTTGTATTATATATAAATACGTATGTAAGTTATCTGTGCTGCGTCTAAATTAAAAAACATACGTCTTTAACACTGCTTATAGTTTGTTGTTGATTATATTATAAGCCTCCCAGATTAATGGTCGTTTCTTAGTTATGAAATTCTCAAGAAAATCTATTTTGCACCGTCCGAAATGCAAGCAAATTATATTTATGATTATATTATGCCATTGTGGTATTATACGTGACAAATATTTATAAATAGCTGTTGGTTTTCTTATATTGTGCTTTGCACTAATTAATGAAGTGCGCACGACGTTCACTTAACATTTCGTATGTTTATAGAAAGCTGGAAATTTATTGGACGAACAACTTGATGTTATACGCAATCTACCGTTGAAGTCACAACTAAATGTAAGTAATTTTACACTATCGATAGAAACTTCGGCTTAAGTATATGACGTTTAATTCTTATACATAATTATATATTTAATTAGTTGTATAGTAAGTATTATCGTAGTTCCTATTATTTAATATTAATTTACAACATGTAATTTAAAATATAAGATGCATTATTGAAGTTCAAAAATGTCAATAGACCAGTATTTTAGTTGTACGTATAACGTGTTTTTCGATTTCAATTTGTATTTTTGTATCAAACGATTGAAAAATATAAATTTTATACCACTTTAATAACATATTATGTTGAACCATTATGACCTCTCCTCGCAAGTTGGTAACTTATATCAATAGTCTCTAGTTAATTTTAAGTTCCAACGACTCGTCTATATCTCTTTTCAAAAGAGAATATACCGCTATACTAGACTGACGGCTGTCAACCGTCCCAAGGCCAATTTCTCCTACTTTCATTGAAACGAGTCATCGATCGCGCACGACGGTCGCCGATCAAAGTTTGCCGACAAGTATACACCTAATTCCAACAACTTATTTACAATTAATAGATATCTGACAGACGCGGCAGTGTAGCATGTACAGTTATATAGGAATGCACCGAATGTATAGCGGGAGCGCGCTCGTCGTGACCGGCGTTGCTTAGTTAAGAGCTATGGACAACTGGTGGGGGATGCGCGCCGTCGAACCAAAACCAGTCACGCAAACGGTATGTTTTCTTTTGAAAAGAGATATAGTATACCAGAGTCATAATCATAAGATTTTATATTACAAAAATACTACATTTTTTTGTATACGCAAGTGATTCGTTGAATTTTGTCTTTAATTTGTATATCTTTTTTTGGCTGTTAGAAGTATATACAAATTTGAAAATATTCAATAAAATTAGTACCTAATTTATTAACTTTTGACGTTGAAAATGTACGATTTAGGTTTATTTTCTTGACCATTAATTTTGTATAATTGCAGGCGACACTGGAATTTTTGTCAAACATGGGAGATCCTATAGCCGGATTTCCAGAATTAACTAAACTGTATAATTTGCAGATATGGTACCAAAAACGATTAAACATAAACAGACATATGACGTCAAAATATAAACGTTAGTTAAAATCGATTCATTAGAAAAAAATGGTTTTCGATTGTTCAAACGGTATCACTGTTATAATACATTTAAAATTTATTTATATAATAGAAAACCTAATGGATAAATCGGTTACTATCTGGAAAGTTCCTGTACCAAAACTGACAACTGTCACTATACCGAAATTGAAGTTGAAATCAAATACATTGACTTGGGGTCAAATAAGTAGTACAAAACAAGAAGTAAGTAATGAATAGGGTAGAGAACTTGTAGCATTTGCAAATTTGTTTTTCATAATCAAAAAAATAGTAGAATATAAAACAAATATGTTTCATGCTTTCACAATACTAGACTTGAAATTTTATCTTGTATAGTTCGAGTTTGTTTTGTTTTAAGGGCAAATTTCTTCCATTTTATACTTTTAGATTTATATTTCAAATAATTTATTATTTCATCAATATTTTTCTGCCAAAGTCCTTATTTCATCTAATATACGACCAAAATATTGTCGAATTAAAAATAGTTGTAAATTTTGTTCATACGAGATTTAACCAAATAGTATCGAGACTGTTAAAAAAAATAAATATATATATTTATATAATATTATGTAGATAAAGTTATTTACATTTAATGTTTTTCAAAATATGGTCCTTCTGAATCTATATCGTGTTTCCAACGTTCCTGCCATTTTTTAAAACACCTCTGGAAGTAATTTTTAGAAATGTCTCGGAGCTGCTCCGTTGAATTATGTTTGATTTAAGAATACAAATAAATAGAGAGGGGGTGTTTATGTTCAATAACTTAAATTATCTTTGTACGTATTATTTATTGAAAATAATTTGTTTGTAATTTAGTAGAACTATGCATTTATTGTATAAAATAATAAGACATTATATATACATTTATATGTATTAATAAATATACTAACTGAACGGTTATAAAAATATATAGAAAAAACTTATTGTGTGATGGATGTGGTATTTTTGGGCTCGATGACTTATATATTTAATAAATGCTTAAATTTCTTTTTAGAATGCATGTAATAAAAAAATGATAATAATTTCATTATCTTATTAGCTTATCTAGAAGATATATGTAAATTAGTTCCTAATAAATAACAATATTATGCAAATTATAATGCGACAGTCAACTATAATAATACATTTTTCTATATCAACGGCAGTGGCGTCATTTAAGTTTTTTCTATATTAGGGCAGTCGGCATGCTATTATTAAATTGATGACTCGGCGGCTTATTTTACCAAATTGCCTATTAACTTGGAGAAGGGGGACGTCAAATCAGTTAAAAAAATATAAAGATTTGTACTTCGTACATAAATACTCGTGTAATACACGTTTCATTTTTCTGATTAATAACATTTCAATGGCTTTATATAAGACGAGTTTATATTTTGATGATATGCCGTCTTTGAAATAGCTAAATTCTAGACCGTGATAAATGCACGAAATTCCCCCTTCTAAATGACGCCACTGATCAACGGTACAGCTATAATGGTAGCATTGTATAAGATTTTAAGTTAATATACAGTAATGTACATGTAATATACATTTTTAATTTTACAATTTCAACGCTAACGGGTACATTCGTTGTGCCCCCGATTATAGATCAAGAGGGCTAAAGCTGAGTACACTACGAACTTGAAACGAACTGCGATTGATAATGCAAGGAACATGTATTTGAGCACATACAACGATTACTTCGAAAATGGATTAAATAAGAACTTCAAACGAACGTTCTTTGCCTATTTTCCGGCGAAAGAAGACGATTGCATGTTCGAAAACCCGCCGAAAATATTCAACGAGAAAGCTTAATTTTAAACTTCGAACAATCAGGAAGTAGTAATCTTTGACTGTTTAAATTAATCATATTCCATATACATATACACACCATAACGTAAAGTCACAGTGTATAAACGAGTATCATGAAATTACAATTTTACATTTTTAACCACATAAATTATAGTTTTATAATTTAATTTATCACTGTGTAATAATTATGTAATGATACTGTACAGTAGTGATTTAGAGATTAAGTTAAGTTTGCATTCTTTGAATTTCATTGAAAACGTTTTTAATTATTTCAAAAACTTAATACATTTATGGCATAAATACTCGTATGTAGTTGAATTAATTTTAAACAAATCATGATATAATTTATATGGTAGGTACATATTATATTACGACGATTACCTACATTTCAGTTATTTTTTCTTTCTGTAAATTAAATAATTAATTGCATTGTCATATAAATTTAAAATAATACATTAAGTACGTCGTTTAAATAAAAATCAAATTTCCTAAGTAATAATTATACAAACTGTAAAAAAAAATTACATTTTATACATTTATGTTCAAATTTTAATTTTAGTGTCAATACAAACATGCTGTATGATTCACAATGCATTACATACATTTTTAAGTAGTTTTATAAGTATAAAGCAATTTTTGAAAAGTTATTTCCATTATAAGCTATGTATATATATGACAACGGAAGAGGGACCGTCCGGTAGTGATTAGAATTGTATACAATTTTGTATGTAATTGTAAATATTTTGTTTGAAAATAAGTACTGTAAGCCTGTTTTACTAACGGCACTCAATCTTAGAATTAAAAAAAAATGAAATAATCCTCGGCTTGTGTTAAGTTAATCCTACCCTGTACCTACCTATCGTGATACAATAAATAAATTGAAATAATATAATAATATTAATAATAAATTGTAATGTGATCCACATGATACACAATAATGAATATAATAAAAATAATATATAATATAAAATAATAATAAATTAATAATAATGTGGCCCATATGACGGCACATAGTATTGAAAATGATGTAATAATAAATAATACGTATGTTGACTAGCACAATAAATGAATATGTGTATTATAAAAATTACAATGAAATAACACAAATGTGTGCCTATGACGCGGCTAGACTCGTTGATTTATGCCAGATGTGGGAAACTGGCGGCCTATGACCTTTTTTTATCTGACCCGTGCTATATTTTCAAATAATATAATACAATTTTAAAGTTCATTGTTTATACTCTATCTTATCGATATAATAATTGTTATCTGGTATTAAACATCGTTAAATGTCTAAATGTCATACTCGTATGTAGGGCCCGGAAGATTTTGTATTTGCATGTTTTTATAGGGCTATTAAATTTATTGCTAAGTAAGCTGGAAATTATTTTCATGACACTGCGAAAAACATATTAAAATTTAATAGCGCATATTTTTACATATTTATTGGTTTAGCAATTTTAAGCGCACATTTCTTAATTTTGCCATTTTTTAGAGCATAATTGATGATTATTGATGAATTGATAATAACATTTAAAAATGTTAATAAAATTAAATATTTATTTCGAGAGTTTTCATTAGATATTGTACCTATCATGATTCTCAAATCCCAGGTTGACACAAAATATTCAGTTCTATTTATATTTAACCGTAACAATTTAATGATTATCATTAATTGTATTTATCAGATAATCGGTGATCTCTTAACTTTTGAAAACATTAAAAAATATTTAGTTGTTCAATGCAATAATTTTGCAGGTAAAAACAAAATGTATTTCTTCTTATGAATTGGGTTCTAAGCATTTTTTCTAATTTTTATTTATGCTTTACAGATATATAATTTAATCGGAACATTTTGAAAGAAAATTTCAAATTTAAAGCTATTTATTTTAATTTATTTTATCTTATACATTTATACCTAGAAATTATGTTTATCTTAGTATAATATACTAATAACATTTGTACTGTTGATAGCGAGTAGTTGTACGAGTATATTTAATAAAATATTTTTATTCATGAAAATGTTTGTGTTAAAAAAGTTTTTTAAAGCAAATTTGTACTTTTTTAAGCGTATAAGTGCATGTATATTTAGTACTTTTTAAAAGCATTAAATTCCGAGCCCTAGTCATATGTATATATACGCATAGCTTTCAACCATAGCTGTTAGTACGGCACTATTTAACTATATTAGTTTCTTCGTATCATTCGTGTCGTGCTGTCGTGAGTGTTGAATTTAATATTTCCGTGTATATAAATGATAATTAAAATTCATATTTTAAATGACCTTTTTTTTCCTACGCTCTGGCCCACTAGATTTTAATTTTCTAAAAATTGGTCCTCTAGTAACTTTGAGTTTTCCATCCCTGGTCTATGCTAATAAAACGAAAACGAAAATGTGGTTGACCAATACTCGCATAGCAGTTGTGACACCCGACTGGTTTCACACCTATGTAACGTAAGGGGTTCCATGGGTAATTAAAATTAGTACGAGTACAATGAAAAAGTATAAGATGAACCTGCGCACGTGTGATCAGAATGTAAATTGAGTGTTCGAAATTCCAGTATCTTAATGTCGATACATATATACGAGTACACATTAAAACCATCAATATTTAAATTTTTCGTGATACATTATAAACCATTATGAAGATAAAATGTCTGATGCCACTACACTAATCTAAAAACACGCGAACGTATGAAACTTTGTGACATTGAGAGCATGACTTTGAATCATACAAATGTAAAAATTACCGACAACGAACAAAAACACTGAATAACGAATATTTTTGCGCAAACAAACACGACTCCGTGTATCGGGATAATTTTAGTAAGTATATTTATTTTCTCACACGACGACCTCAAACGGCAACGTGACAGTTTTTAGTACGTAGGTACATTATGTAACCATTTTGGCGTTGTCATTTGTTTGATAGACGATAGGCCAACTTTTTTGCAATTTTTTTCCGTTATATCTTCTTCGGCGAAAGTGTTGACAAGTATTGAAGCGACTATGAGAGCTTTAAAATACATCTAGAATCAAAGACTAATAAACATGTTATATATGATATTTCAAAATATTAAATTTGTTTAATGTATTTTATTTGTTTTCTATGTTTGATACATCAATTTCACAAAAAGATTTTATCTTTTGTACGTGTATAGTATCTAAAACTTTTTTTCCGATTAAAATTAACTTAAATTTTTTTTTTTTTATTGATAGATTTCTTTACACTTTGATACAAATACAATAAAGTAATTATAATAAAAGAATAAAAAATATATCTACTCCTTTAAGCCTAGGCTTGTGGTGGAGTAGAGTATTATCAAGCGAACATAATTATATTAAACTTAAGAAAATATATATAAATAAAAATATATACAATTATTAAAAAATAAATCAAGGGTGATAAACTAAATACTTAAGAAACTAAAAATATTTATAAAATAAGAAATAACATACATTAACTTACAATAACTGCGGATTTAACTGAGAAATATTTAATTCAGAAAATAGCCATTTATAAACAATTTTTTTCTCATTCAATAAACCATGATGAATATTTTTTTTTTGATATTGTTGGCAACTGATTAAAGTACGTTGGGCCTAAATAGTCTACAAAACACTGTCCAAAAGCTTTTTTTGTGTATAACACCGATAAGTTATAAGCTCTGTGTTCTCTTGATTTATATACATCAACTACATTGGTATTGTTTCTTATATATTTTTTAATTGTAAATAGTAGGGCGTTTTTCTTGTATAATTGTTTTACTGGAAGAACACCTAAAAGATTATAATTTAGTTTTGTCGAACCATTTAAGGATGTTTTACCTAAAATTATTCTAATTACACTATTTTGATTTACTTGTAATGGTTTAAAAGCATTTTCTTTCGCCCCTCCCCATACTAAGAGCCCGTATTGGAAAATTGATTGATAGAAGGCAAAATAAATCATACGAATCGTTTGAACTGGTAACAGAACTCTTAGTCTTATGAACTGATATATAGTAGAACGGAGCTTACTAACTAGATTGCAAATATGCAAATTCCATCTCAAATTTTCATCAAAAATAACACCTAAATAACGAATTCTCGATATTTGTTTGATTTGTTTACAGTTTATATTATTACATATCAAAAAGTTATTACAGTTATGAATCAACAAAGGAGAATCGGTATTCGTACATTTATTTATAGAGAACTTCATAAACATAGATTTATCCACATTCAATGATAAACCTCTATCTTGTATACATTTATATATTGAATTTAATCCAATAGTAGCTTTATGGTAAACCTCATTCCAAGAAATACCCGAAAATAACATACAAGTGTCGTCAGCGTAAGTAATTATTTTACCATCTACATTTAGGTTACATAAGTCATTTATATAGAGTAAGAACAAAATTGGGCCTAAAACACTTCCCTGCGGAACACCAAATTTTATAAGATTTCTATCACTAAGGACATTATTTAATTTCACTTGTTGAAATCTATCTGAGAGGTAGCTTTGAAACCAAAGTAAACTCCTTTTGTTAATACCAAAAGTAGGTAGAATCTGAGAAAGAATATCATGGTTTATAGTGTCAAACACCTTCGCAAGGTCTAGAAATATGGCAATAGTTTTTGCACCATTATCTAATGTATGGTATAGAAATTGTGTAACTTGATATAAAGCATTTTCAGTACTAAGCCCTTGTCTAAAACCAAATTTATTTTTAGATAACAAATTATTTTTTTCTAGATATGTAATGAGTCTCATTTTAATTATTTTTTCAAAAATTTTAGAAAAGTTGGTCAATATAGATATTGGTCTATAGTTTGACATATACCTACGATCACCTCCCTTGAATAGCGGTTTGACTATTGCAATTTTGAAGTCATCAGGGAAAATGCTTTCCTTAACACTCAAATTATATATAAATACCAATGGGGTGATGATTAATTCGGAGATATTTTTTAAAATTTTTACCGTAACCTGATCATACCCTGCAGCTGTGTCATCTTTATAATTTCGAATAATTTTTCGTATTTCAGACGCTTCAATTTCTTTTAAGAAAATATCATCAAATGAATAAAGACATGTTTTGTTATGAGTTATTTGTACTTTTGGAAATTTATTAAAATTCCCTGCTAGATTTTCAGTAACATTAACAAAAAATTTATTAAAATGATTTGCAGCCTCTTCAGTATTATCTTCGACATTTAAAGACTGGTCGTTAATATTTATAAAATCAATTGAATCTTTGTTTTTAGAATTTCTACTAGTTAGCTCATTAACCAATTTCCAAGTTAATTTTAGATTAGAAGATACACTAGAGAATTTTTCAGTATAGTAATTTATTTTGGCATGCTTAATTAATTTTGTAAAACTATTTTTGTACTTTTTAAAATATGAATTTAGTTTGACGTTATCTGGATTCTTTTTACATTTTAACGAGAGGTATTGTTTGTGACGAGCAGAACATAACAGACCTTTAGTCATCCACTCTTTTAATTTTTTATTTTTAGAATTTACATATTTGATGGAAGACGATTCATTTATAGCATTCATAATTGACTTTTGAAAATTAGAGAGACAAATATTAACCGAATTAGAGTTATAAACATTATTCCATGTTTCTTTTGATAAAATTAATCTGAGTTTTTCATAGTTAATAACTTTAAGAAGATTTTTAATAATTTTAGGTTTTTTAGTAATGGGAATTGTAACTACAATGGAACAATGATCTGTGATTTCTAATTGTAAAACACCTGCCTTTATATATTTAAATGAAGAGTTATTATCTTTGATGAAAATATGATCTAAACAAGAGTGTTGTTGACCTTAAGGTAATCTGGTGTATACATTTATGAAAGAAGTAAAACCGAATTCTGATAAAAGGTCTAGATAATCATAATTGTTTGAATGGGTTCCGATAATATTAATATTTACGTCTCCAATTAGAGTAATTATACCTGCATTCAAATTTAAATTATTAAGAACATCTCTTAATGAGTTTAAGAAACCTGTATAATCCGAAGAAGGTGACCTATAAATACATATTATACTATATGGCATATTATTCAAATTGAAAGAAAGCTTTACTATATTATAATCTAATAAATTGTAGTCGAAGAAATCCGCAGTTAGATGTTGTTTTACAAAGATAATTATGCCATCATTTTGGTTCCTTTTTAGGCTAGAAAACATTAATTTATAACCAGGCAATTCATAGTGGCAAGACAATGGATCGTGCCACGTTTCTGTTAAAATTATTATATCAATTTTATCACTCTTAACATCATTTTCAAGAAATAAAATAAATTCATCAAAGTGTGCATTTACACTTCTAATATTACAGCTAATAATATTTATAAAACATTCCGATTTATCATTAAAACAATTGTCATATTCCGAAAAAGAATCAAAATAATTTGTTCTAAACTTATGATTTACAGTAAAATTATTATACTTAGCCATAGAAAAAATAAACAATATCCACTGTATTTTATTATATTAAAAAGATTATTTATAATAAGGATAAAGATGATTCATTTTCAATGAGAACTGCTTTATGATTTTCGTTTTTCTTTATAAATAATTTTGAGTTTTTAAACCATACGTATTTAAAACCGGCCTCTCGAGCGAAAGCCTTTGTTTTAAACAGTAAATTTCTATTATACAGAGTTAAAAAATTATTTACGTATATTGGCTCTACTTTATAGTTTTACTTTATAATTACAGATAATTTTTTAATAATGTTTTAAGGGCCTCTATATTTATTTGCTAGTTTTTTTGATTTGTCTTTTTCATTGAAATCGAATTTAATTAAAACTTTTTGTCCCGTGTTAAAATTAATATTTTTATGTTTTTTGCCATATTGTTCTTTTTGTATGTTCTGTTATTTTTCACAATTTTAGGTATAGTGCCTTTAATCTTTTGGAGTGCTTTATGGTTTTTGTGAAGTCAAGTTATTCGTTTTCTAAAATTAATTTGTTATCTAACGATTGGTTGGCTTCTATGCCGTGAATTAAATAAAATGGGCTTACTTTTAACCTCAAACTTGAGCTTGTGTTATAAGCGAAAATGATCATTTTATAATATAGTGACCAGTCTTTTTGATTTTCGTTTACGTCTGGGGTATTTAACCCGCGACCCGCGGTTCGCTTGTGGCTCGCCCTGTCATAAAATGCAGCCTACGATCATATTTCAAATTAAGCATGTATATTTTCTACTTCGATAAAATTATAACGGCTAAGCCACCGCTATCGGAAATAAGCGATAAGATAAATTAAATTACCTACCTAGAGATCAATTTACAAAACAATAAAATATTAAAAAGAAAGTACAATAATGTTGAACTTTCAATTTTTTATTCGAAATATATTGACTAAGAAACCATATCCTTATCTTCAAAACAACGCATTAAGAATGATATCTATTTTTGGCAGTTCTTACACTTGTGAATATATTTTTTCACGAATGAAATTTATTAATTCGAAAACTAGAGCTCGGTTAACTGACATTCACTTAGGAAATTCACTCAGAATTGCATCGTCTTAGATCCAACTAAATATAGACAAATTAGTTAGTGAAAAACAATGTCATTTGTCACACTAAAAATGAAATAAAAATTTGTAATTAAAAAAAATGTCTATTTATATATGTTTTAATAATAATAATAATAATTTGTAATTTAAAATGTAATCATATAAATTGTAATAATAAAACTGAATTTTTGTTTTTACTACCTACGAATGTAGTGCAAGATTATTAAAAAATAATACATGGCCCACTGCATAAAAAGGTTGAATACCCCTGGTTTACGTAATGTGATAAATTATTGCCGATAATTTTTTTTCATAAGTTCGGTCATACCATTAGTTTGCGGGTGGTACGTGCTAGAAAAAACTTGCGTAATGCCAAATTTTTTACACGCATAATGTACTTCTTTATTTTTGAAATGAGTGCCCCTATTGCTACAAAAGTATTTAGGTACACCGTTGGATAAAATTAAGTCCATTAAGAAATTAACTATTGCTACTCCTTTAGCGTTTGTAACCGCCTTCGCGAAAGCCATTTTTGTAGCGTTACAAGTTGCTACAATAAGGTATCTTTTTCCTCTAGAAATGGGTAAGGGTCCTAAATAGTCAAATGCAAGTCTTTGTAAGAATTTTCATGAAATCAAAGGTATTGGTTACATTAAGCCGTGGCATTTGCCTTGTTACGTGCTACCGGCTCGATTCCAAGTAGTGCAGTCGAAGATGTATTTAAATTTATTTAATAAGACATAAGATATTAACTTTTATACATTTATTTTAACATTCAAAGTGTTTAACAAATTTTAACATAGAGTGACGTAAAGTAATTTGCAGTTCCGTGACTAGAACTCATCTGAATTGTGGTCATTTCGGTCCCTCTTTTATATTGCTTTATTGACGTCATTAAACTTGTTATTCTGTGATTTTCAGGAAATGTAGGTTCGTTTCTGAGGTCTTTGCACCTGCTGTTTGTGTGTGGTTCCCTTGTAATACCCACATTTGTAATTCATAGTATTCCTGATTTAATTTATACATTCTTATTACATATTTTTTCTTGTTATACAGACCAGTATATAATTATAATAAAAGGATATGGTATTACTTGTCTTTACAGTGTCTTTTAGTTTTGTTTTAAATTTAAATATATCGATTATTACATGATCATACATATCCCGTATTAAAATATATCAATTATTAAAAAGATATTTATTATATATTATATGATATATGATAGCCCATAACAACCTGGTGGATTTTTTATCATTTTACAAGAAATGCGATTTTTAATAAATGTTGTTATGTCTTTAATTATTGTGGGCCAATAATACTTTTGTTTTAATTTAGCTAAAGTTTTTGTAATTCCGAAGTGTCTTCTTAAAACTGATTCGTGGTAAGATTTTAGAACAGTGTTAATTAAATGTTTAGGTATCACTAATAGATTATTTTATCTGTGGGGTGTACAATTTACATAATAATATAGCCAGATTTTATGTTTTGCAGATGATATTAAGCTCTACTCTCGTATATCTTCCTTAGATGACTGTATTGTGTTACAAAGGGATTTTGATCGCTTCACGGAGTAGTTTAATTTGTTAGGACTATCCTTTAACGTTTCTAAATGTAAGACCATGCATTTTGCTAGTATTCAGTTCCCTTTTAAATATGCTTATCATCTCGGATTTACTGCTATTTCACGTTTTAACGACTATGTAACTGATCTAGAATTTATTCTTAGTAGTGATCTTAATCCTACATCCCACATTAAGCATATTTGTTGTAAGGCTTTTAAAATTCTGGGGTTTGTGTTAAGATTATGTAGGGATTTTCAGTTAGGTCTATCATACAAGGTGCTTTATTATGCACTTGTTCGCCATATTGTTGAGTATGGTGCCGTAATTTGGGATCTGTACGACCTCAATGACTCTCTGAGGCTTGAAAGGGTTTAGCGTAAATTTATGATACATGCTAGTTTTAGATTGAATATCCCTTGTGAACACTACAACTATGGACCAGTTGCTTCTCAACTAGGGCTGGTTTCGCTGGCTGAGCGTTGACAGATCTCGGGCATTAAGTTCCTGAATAGTTTATTACAAGGTTGACTTTTCCTATTTACTTTACTTAATTTGTTTTAGAGTTCCTCAACGTCATTCCCGATCTGTTGCTCCTTTTTATGTTCCATTCACCTCCACTAATTATCTTAAAAATGAGCCTATTACACGTATAATGTCAAATGCCAATGTTGACCCTTCATTTCTTCTTTGCAAATAATTTACTGCATAGCTATTTATTTATCATGTATCATAATTTGTATAATTAATGTGTAAATTGATATGTAAAATGTGTATATATGTTTAAAAGGCTTATCCCGTATGTTTAATAAAATAAAATAAAATATAATATATTAGTTCATGTTTTATTAAATATTTTTTAGATTATTTAGAGAATTTGTTTTCTTTTTTCTCCCAATAATGATAAAATTCTACCATTAAAAAACTCGTCTTCTGATTGTTGTTTTTGTAATGTCTCGGGTTTTATTGTGTCGAAATTAATTGTGCCAGTAGTTGCGATTTCATAATTTTTAATTAGTATGTTAGTTTTTTGAGTAGGTAGTATTTACAGGGTAACGTGACAGACGGTCTGCCGCCGTGTTCCATTAATCTGGGCGATGTTTTATTTCTAGGTCAAATTCTATTAATTAAAAATAAATTTAGTTATTCGGGAAGGATTTTTCATAGTTTTGTAATATTTTAAGTTTGAGTGATCACTAAAAATTGATATTTTTTCCCTAATAAGGTATTCTCTAAAGTTATTATTAGCGAATTAGTATTCGCTAATAAAATAGAAATGTCCGTAGACATCTTGAAATCCAATAAAAGATTTTTAATTATAAATAATTTGAAATAAATAATATAAATAAATAAATAAATAAAATAACTCAAATATATTTTATTTTGTAATAATAATATGGACGCACCGAGCTCTATACACAAACAACATAAAAAATGCGAAAAAAAAAGGTGTCTTGTCGTTTTCTTATTGGAGAGTTATTTATTTTAGGAAACTTGAGCCGTAAATATTTTAAATTATGAAATAATCGTTACAAATCTAAAACTGAATTACATAATAATTATAAAAAAAATCTTGAATGCACAGTAATACAGTGTACCGAATAATATTCTACTGTACAAAACGGCAACGTCGCACCCATTTTCGTGCTCAATCGTGTGGTTTTTTAGTTATTTTTCGGTTCCTATTGTTTGATTGCAACCGTGCTCAATCGGGTTACGAAAAAGATCAATCGTCTTTCATCGGGTTCCAGCCATATTTTTGTTTATCATTTACGTTTTTTATATTATACTCTATTTCTGCATTATTAGTATTGTTTTGTTTGTCTGGTTCAGAGTCTTTTTTTATCATTGCATTAATAAGTTTAGTGGGATTTTTATCATTAATTTTGTTATAATTTATGCTGACTATACTGCTTTTTTTTGAATTTTTACGGTAATATTTTCTTTATAAAAATTGTACCAAATTTCGTCCATGGGTGTGATATTGTTTTTTAGTCGTTTGCTTTTGTTTTTAAAGTCGATTATTATGTTATTTTTAATATTAAAATTATTTCCTAAGAGTAGTTTGTAATAAGTCCTTTTATCACATACGCGTTTATAATGTATTGTTTGTTGTTTATTTTAATTGTTAATTCTATTTTTTCTAATAGTATTAATTCTGTACCGTCTGCCTCTGTTATTATAACTTTTTCTTTAAGTTTTATAATTTTTTTATCTTTAATTAATGAAACATCTATACGTGAGAGATTTGAGCCTGTATCTAATATGGCATATTTTTCGTCGCCCTCAATTTTTACTTTTGTTACTAATACTTTTTGTTTTCGTTCAATATCTGTCATTATGTTCTTTATTTGATTATTGTTTTCATTTGTAATATAATATTCTAATTTTGAGTTATCAGAGTATTTACTTAAATAGTCGTCCGTATTTTTTTTTTTAATGTGTTAGTATCAGATAAATTATTATGACTATTTTCCGGTAATGAGTAAATTCTAATTTTTAATAAAGCTGTAATCAATATAAGTAATAATATAATTATAATTAATTACGAAAATAAATGTAATATGTTAAAAAATGATGAAAAATATTTTTCATTAAATCCGAGAACCGAGGCTATTGTAGAATTATCGATAGCCGAACCTAAGGTCGAAGATAAAAATATAATTATACAAAAACAAGAAATAATTAAAGACGTGTTTTGTAGTAATGTAATATGAAAAGTAAAAAATGGTAAAATAATAGTTAGCATATTAAATATATCTGAATGTACGCAAAAAATTAAATTAAATGATTTAAATAAAATATTATATGACAAATCTTCAGATTACAATTTATTCAATATTGATATGATAAAAATAAATGACTCTTCAACCCGAATAAAACAGATAAAAAATTTAATTAGAATTGAACATATGAATATTGAAGAAAAACAATCAATATTTGAATTATGTGAACAATATTCTGAAATATTTCATTTAGAGGGAGATAAATTAACTTTTACTAACGCCGCTAAACACGAAATAAAATTAAAAGACAACCAACTGCCTATATATAAACGACCGTATAGATTACCTCATTCACAACAAGAGGAAATAGCTTCACAAATTCGTAAAATGGAAGATGATGATATTATAGAACAATCTACGAGTCCTTGGAATGCACCATTATTATTAATAGCGAAAAAACCAGATGCTAGTGGGAAACAGAAAATCAGAATTGTTTTAGATTTTAGAGCATTAAATGAAGTAACATTAAATGAGTTTCATCCACTTCCGAACATAACTGAAATATTAGACCAACTAGGGCAATGTCAATTATTCAGTGTTATCGATTTAGCATCGGGTTTTTATCAAATACCATTAGTACAATCATCACGCGAATTAACGGCCTTTTCAACTAATCAAGGTCATTGGCACTTTAAACGCATGGCAATGGGAATGAGAACTTCGCCCGCAACATTCCAAAGGTTAATGAACAATGTATTAGCAGGCCTTATAGGAATAAAATGTTTAGTATATTTAGATGATATAATTGTATACGGGAAAAATTTACGCGATCATAATAATAAATTAAAAGACGTATTCGAGAGATTAAAAGAACATAATTTAAAAATACAACCGGATAAATGTGAATTTTTAACACGCGAATGTGTATATTTAGGACATGTTATATCTGAACATGGAATAAAACCAGATGAAAAGAAAGTAAAAGCAGTTTTAAATTTTCCAAAACCAACTAATGTAAAAGAAATAAAATCATTTTTAAGATTATCAGATTATTATAGGAAATTTATCGAATCATATAGTGATAAGGTAAAACCAATTACAAATCTTTTGAAAAAAGATGTTAAATTCGAATGGTCAGAAGAATGTCAAAAAGTTTTTGATTCATTAAAACAAACATTATGTTCTGAACCAATTATAAAATATCCAGATTTTACGAAACCATTTATTTTAACTATTGACGCAAGTAATAAAGCATTAGGAGCAATATTATCACAAGGTGAGATAAGAAAAGATTTACCTTTATCTTATGCTTCATGAACTTTGAATAAAAGTGAAAATAATTACAGTACAACAGAGCTAGAATGCTTAGCCATTATTTTCGGTGTAAAACAATTTAGACCATAATTATATGGGAGAAAGTTCATAATATTAAGTGATCATAGACCATTAACGTGGTTATTTAATTTAAAAAATCCGCTATCAAAATTGGCCCGATGGCGTATAAAGTTAGAGGATTACGATTATGAGATTAAATATAAACCGGGAATGCAAAATTCAAACGTAAACGCATTGAGCAGAATGTATAATATAACTGAGATAAGAAATGATAATTATTCTAGTTTTCTTGAAAAAATGAAAACACAATTAATCTCGAATAAAAATGTTAAAGAAACAATAGGAAATTTATTCGACGTACCTGTTGATTATCATTTAGTATCAGAAATCGCTAAACAATATAATTTTACGGAAGGAATAAATAAAATATTAAAACAGAGATTTGGAATTAATAAAATGTTAACACCGAGTAAAATAATAGGTGATATAAAATATTATAAAATACCCGGTGTGTAATGTTTTTAATAACTAAAAATAAAGATAAACAATTATCAACGTATGAAAATATATACGTAACATTAGTGAACTTCAAACTATTCTGCGAGGAAAATAATATCAGTAAATTAGCAATTAATAAACTAGGTCAATCGGATAACCTAGAATGGGAAAAAATTAGGTCAATAATACGATATATATTTCGGAAAACTGATATAGAAATACTAATATTTACGGAAGTAGAATACACTGAGGAAAAGAAGTTAAACATTTTAAAACAATTTCATGATTCAAAATTAGGGGGACATTTGGGAGTAAATAAAACCATTAAGAAAATACAAAATCAATTTAGATGGAGAAATATGAAATCAGATGTAAAAGATTACGTAAAAAATTGTACGTCGTGTCAAAAGAATAAATTAACTAATAGACATGTAAAACAACCATTGGCAATTACTTCAACAAGTTCGAGACCGTTTGAAAAAATATTTTTAGATATTGTAGGACCTTTAACAACTACCTTATCAGGTAATACTTATATATTAACTATGCAAGATGATTTAACTAAATACTCATTAGGAATACCTATACTAGATCACCAAGCTAATACTGTAGCAGAGGCTTTCGTAGTACATTTTGTATGTGTTCACGGAATACCTGAGACAATATTAACCGATCAAGGTACTGTGTTTCTTAATAGAACATTTAGCGAAGTCTGCAGATTATTAAAAATTAACAAAGTAAATACTAGTCCTTTCCATCCACAAACAAATGGAAGTTTAGAAAGATCACATCGAACATTAGCCGAGTACTTGAGACATT